GTAGGAGAGAGTCGTTGTGCTGGCGAGGTCACTTGTCTCCATTTTTGCAGTGTTCATTGACAGCATTGCTGGTCGACCGTGTCGTCACCACTGGGGTACATAATCTATGGGGGGCGTGGGGTTTTTGGGGGATCTGGAGTAACTTTAAATCTCACCCATAATTTCTTTCACTAGCGCATCGTTTTTATCCGATCAACCTTTTGTATCTTCTATGGGCTCGCCGTATTCCCGAACGTGATAAAGTATGTTTCTAGGTAGTACGCTGACCGTTCGTGGTAACCTGGAACCTCTCTTACCTCTCTGGCAAGGCAAAACTTGTCACAGCCGGGCTCTCCTAAACCTTCTTAAAACCATTGCTCATCTTTCCTGGGGAAGTGATCGTATCAAAATATGATTCGCCTACATATTCAGCACCTGTTTTTTTACTCGAAACTCGATTATGGTGGATCCAGATTTATTCCGCGGCCTCTACTGCTGACTCTACTCTTAGCCTTAACTCTTTCCATCACATAGGCTCTACGTGTTGTTGCACTTTGGTGCCCTTTTCGCTCTTCCCCTGTTGAGAGCCTCTACTACAGTAGCACAAATGTTCCATCGTGTCTGATCGCAGTGTATGCCATTGCCTTAGTTTACTATGTACGACTTCTCCGGTTACACAATCCTTCCATTTATAGAATGGTCACGATAATTAGTAGACATTCTTTATTTGTCGGCCGCACCTGTTTGCTCTCGTCCCACTCACCCCTGTTCTCTTCCGACTACATTACTTTGTCTTCCCTTCTGTTACACTCCTTTATTATGTGTAATGTAGGACATTTCTCACTTTTCCCTGCCCCCCTGGGTAGAGTGCCTGCCTGTTCGGGTTTCTGTTATTTTTCTCTCCCCGTTGATCAGTAAGCCTACTCTTCAACAGAACCTAACGGTTGGCCTTCCCGCTCCTCTTTGTCTTGATTCTTCCATCCCAATGCTCATGCACCACCGCTGTGTACTATCTGTTGGCTCTAAGTCTTTTCAGGGTCGGCGTCGGGTGGAGGATGATGGGGGCGGGGGAAAAGGGCAGTCCGTGGGGGTACCCGAGGATAGGTCACGCCGGGGGGAAAGCGTAGTTCGGAGGGCATTGTAACTTTCGTCAGGCTTAGCTTTTTTACTGCTTGATCTGTATTGACATTCTTGACACGCAGTGTCTTAGTGTATCGCATCTATTTGCCTGTGTCATCATGTGTAGTAGTCTCAGAGCTACATTTGTGCTCTATCAGGCTCTATACCGGGAAATTTTGTTAAATAGAATGTACACGTGTTCGAATGTTATAATAAGGGGGGGGATCTAGACGTAGTATACCTTTATGATTTGAGATGGGGGGTGAGTGGTAACGGGGATCGGGAGAAGCTACTGCGGCAAGTGTTCTGGATGTATAGGGAATGGATGAGTTAGGGATTGCGAGTGGTAAGTAATGGGAAGGGAGTGGGGTGGGAATGGGAGGGTAGTGGGGGAGGATTGGGTGAGTAAATAAGGAGATACGGGGGATTATTGGGGGGATTCCAGTATGAGAGGGTCTATTGTAGGCTTGGGAGTGTGGTTTAAAGTGATGCTGTCGGGTAGGGAGAAGGCGTGGATGCACCAGGGCAGATTGTTGGGTCGTCATAGGCACGAACGCAGGCGACAGGCGCCCCACTCGCGTCGGTAGTGGGGTTTAGCGCATGGTGTAACGGTCCGCGTCCGGCGGGCACCCTGTTACCCTGCTATGTGTAGAAAGTTGTCATAGTTACGAGTTATCGATTAGCCACATTTCTGTTAGACTGCCAATCTCTATCAACGAGCAGCAGATATTTACCTCCAACGTCGTCTTCGTTCTACTACACTCTCTTTATCTTACCCCTTTCTTGCTGATGTGACCCTCACTTTAATCCTGACTCTCTCATTTGACTTCTTGACAACGACTGATTTACTCACACAACTCTCTGTTGATACTTTTCGCCCACTCACCACTCAGACCTTTTCTGCTGGTTCAAGTCTTCTTGCTGACCTTTTCTCCCCTTTCATCCCAATCCATCTGCCCCGACTGTTATCCGGTAACCTGTTGCTCATCTCCATCTCACTTTTGCCACCTCGATGCTCCTTTCACTTCACTTCATGCCCCGGATGCGCATGTTTAGAGGTGAATGGGTGGCAATGAGCGAGTCTTTTCGGATTGCTGTTGTTGATTTTTTATTCTTCCTGGTGGCCATGGTCCTCATGTCCGCGAGATGGGGAGGGATACAACATGTTAGAGAGACTGGGTTATAGATGAGATGAGTGAAAATTTCTTTAGTATAATTGTGGGGCACGGCAGTAATTTAATTGTAATAAGCTGAATTAGTAGGGAAGGGGGCAGGTTAGTCGAGAGGTGTTGGGGGCCTGAGGAGGTTTTGATGTGTGAGTGGGGTTTTGGGAGGGTTCAGTTCTGACATTGATTAAGTGTGATAGTTTGGTGGGGCGGGGGGGCGGGGTGGTGGGGTTTGGTGGTTGCTATCAAAGGTATTTCGGTGTCGATTGTATGATGGTGGTAGTTGGGGTTAGAGTGGGGAGGGTTTAAGCATGCTGTTTCCAAACCTTGTAGTATTTTGGTTTTGGGTTCCGCTACTATTTTCAGTGGGTTTAGCTGATTGGTGGGGTAAGTTGCTGGTGGATAATGTTTCTGACAGATTATTGGCTTGCTTGGGGTCGAAATGTGGTGTATGCAAGGGGGGATTTTGTTGGCGTAAAGTGGAGGTAATGTTTCGGCGGTGTTTAAGTGGGTAAACATCTACGGTGATACACCTGGTATTAGATGTAAACTTCGCACTTTGTATCTATAATACTCAAAGAAAGGAAAGATGTTTGTTTTTGTTTTTTTATAATCGCTTTAATTATTGTCAAGACAATAAATAATTTCATAAATGTCATAATCATAAAGAGATGTTTAATGGTCAATGTGGATGGCAAACTGCAACATTTTTAATAAGCCAATTTTGTTATAATAATCATCCAGTAGTGTTTTTTATTAAACGTCCCAAATTTTATTTTGCTAGAAAAATAATACATTTTCGGCTGATTTAAAAAAAATCGGAGGTTTCAAGCAATTAATCGGTATGTCACTTACTTACAGGCTTGTGTTGGAAGTTGATTGCAGTCATAAACTGTCCGAATATTTCTATTAATTATAAACCACGGCGAAACCATCGTAATGTCAACCTAAACCAAAGTGTAAACTCGAACAGAATAATTTCATTTTATATAAAATCCAATCATATAATGACATTTCAAATACAAGTAGAGGCAGTTTGAAGAGAAGAGTTAGGTTATTTCAAATGTTGATTCAGTGAGATTTACATTTGACGAGAAAAGTTTCGAGGCGTTTTGAGCAGAACGACAGAGTCCCGGTATATTCGATGAGTAGTGTGTGTGTATGGTGGGTTTTGGTGTTGATTTTTGCCCTCATTGCTGTGTTTACTTCGTTTTACATCTTCCCGGGTAAAATTTCAGGCTGTTATCTTAGTTTGTGTTGTATTGGTGCCCAAATAGTTCCTGGATAACTGCTCTGTGACCCGATAAGTTGGCGACTTAAATCTTATCTTGGTCTGGACCACAGGCGAGAAATTTTATTATTGTTAAGAGCTCTTATGGTCCTTAAAGGGGGGGTTCCTTGATGCCGGTGGGGGGTTTTTTCCGGGGGATTGGAAAAACCCTTTCTGCGGATCAAACCCGAAAATCTTCCATTTTTAAAGACAAAATTTCCTTGTAATTAAAAAAGTCATGCGTCATCGGGGATTTCGTCTTTTTTCCATTTGGTCTTTTTTTTTTGCCCCCCCAGGAGCCACCCACACCAGTAAAAATAACACCCAGGTACTCAGTAGGTGAATAGGGGCAAAAAAGGGTTTTACCTGGAGAGGGTTTTGGGGGTTTTAACGCCCCCCCGGCTCAGTCGTGACCAGGCCTTGTGGGATCAGGGTTGATCACCAGGCTGTACTGCTGGCCGACGTAAAACCCCGTAAAATTTCGCCCCAGCTGATAGGTACTAACTTTAGTGTAAGTAATATGTAAGTTTAGCAGGGATCCAAATACAGTTACATAGATTATCATAATAGCGCATATTGGGAGAGAACCTACGAAACCCAAAAAAAATCAACGGTGACTTATTTTCCCCCCAGTTTTCCCTTTTCGAAGACACCAGGGGTTTTGGTAATCCCCTTTTTGTATGTGGGAGGCAGTTTTAACAATCTTGGGCCCTGACACTTCTTGTGTTTTTTCTTTGTGTAGTCGGGGACCCTGCTTTTCTTGGGGGGGTTTGCATCTCCCTGAGTCTTACTTTCATATGATTTTCGTGTGAAGTTTGCTATTAATCCCCCTAGGGGTTTTCCCAATGTTTAAAAATGTGTATCTCTTGCTGTTTCCCGGGTAAAATCAAGGGACTTTACCATTCCCGTAATTTAGATGCTTAATCATACTTATGGTCTGTAAAGTGTAAAGGAAACATGCCCAGTGTCTCCACCCTGCTGGGATCAATCCCAGACCATGGGTTATGAAGTAATGTTTCCAATCGGCCAAGGGACCCGTAAGAGCTTTGCGCTTCTCTGCAAGTCTTCAGTACTTGACCTTGAGGGCTAATTAATCTATAACCTTATTACAGTCTGCTTTTGTATTATTATAATAATTAAAAAATACCCTGTTTGGTGCAAGTACCTACTGGGGTGCAATTAATTTTGCATTAGTTCTCTTAGAATTAACTATTTTTTTTCTTCACAACCTGCATAAATTTCTAGGGCAGGCCATCCTATCCCATTTTAGTGTTACAGTTTTCATGCATCTCTTGCCTTTTATTAACATTGTAGTCATTGTTATTTAAAACCCTTTTGTCATTTATATTTGCTATTGTATCCATTTCTGTTTTGACTATTTCTGGCTCATTTTTATTTTCCTACCCTGTACTTAATTAGCATTGCAGTCATTGTTTCCTATTTTATCACTGTATGTTTACTATTTTGTCTAATTTACTTGGACACTGTTCATTGATGCCAACTTTATCCAATCTTTCTTTTATTATAAATAATACTATTACCACTGACTACTCCATTTACAGTTCATTATTTACAGTAGACCATTATATTACACGGTTTTATTTGGCACATTTTGGTTATTGCACTGTTGAAAAATTGTGGCACAATTTTATACAACACTTTGTAAAATTAACTTAACACTGTTCGAATTGTGGGAGGTGAAAAATTTGGAGTCTCGCCCCCAGGATACTTTCCCAACACAGCTAGGAGCTAGCATAATAATAAACACAGCTAGGAGCTAGCTGTGTTTATTATGTTTGTGGATTGAGTTTAGATATTTTAATTGCCATATCTTGTATCTGCCAAGCAATCATGGCATGCAGTAGGCATACAAGTGTTGCTGAAAGTAACAAGAAAAGGTTTAAGTGTTTAAATCTAGGAGTTACAAAGAAAACAGAGATATTAGACAGGCTTAAGAGTGGCTCATGTGTGGTGGATATAGTGAGGGCCTATGGCCTTAATGAAGCATCAGTTCATACAATTAAAAAGAGTGAAATAAATATACAAGGTTGTGTAATGAATAACCCAGGATATCATCTCATGAAAAGAATATGTAGATCACAACAAGTATAAATAAAGCTGAAAACTTGTTGCTTGAATGGATCGAACAAAAAACAAAGGTGCACCACGTAATTTCATCTTAATTAGGGAAAAGGCCTTACAGTTGTTTAAAGCAGCATGAGATAAGGAGGACCTGAAAAAGAGTGTATGTTTAGCGCAGGCTGGTTGCATAATAAGTTGCATAATATTAAGTTTTCTGGTGAAAGTGCTTCAGCTGATCATACAACAGCAAGTAATTTCCCTTCTGAATTGCAGGAAATTATTTCTGAGGGTGACTATGAGCCACATCAAATGTTTAATGCTAATGAATCAAGTGAATCAAGTGTTTTTTCGAAGAAAATACCAACAAGAACTTATATCTGTCAGCAAGAGAAAAGTGCACTGGGCTTCAAGACAGCAAAGGATTGCTTCACCTTGCTCCTTTGCTGTAATGCATCAGGTGATTTCAAGTGTAAGCCCATGGTTATGTACCTTTCTAAGAATCCTCGTGCTTTGAAAAGTGTAAATAAAAACACCTTACCAGTAATTTGGAGGTCAAGCCAGTCACTGGTTTTCCCTTGCTTGAGAGTCAGGTTCAGGGAATTGTTCAGCTGGCAAAGAGATTACCAGGTTATAGTTTTGAAGATATGAATGAAGATGTGAATGAGCTCTTAGAAGACGATGATGATGTCGTCGATGACGACGACGACTGGAGTCCAGAGGAAATATTGGCAGAGCTCAGTGCACAGATACATGGGAGCCACATAACAGAAGATGAAGAAGAACCTGAAGAAAAACAGTTAACATTACAGCAGTTACGTGAGCAGTTCTGTGTTGCTGCAGAACTAGCAGACTTTTTCACTGAAGAGGACCCTGACAAATCTAGAAGCAGTGCTTTGAAACAGGGTCTAAACCAGCTGATGATGTCTTACCATCAGCTGTATAATGTACTGCAGGGTAAAAGAGCCCAGAGATCCATTACAGAATTTATGCACACTCAGGGCAACATGGGTTTACAGCAGGTCACTCCTGTCTGTCCCAACTACTGGATCACTACAACAAGGTCCTAGATGCACTAGAAGACAAAAAGAAAGCAGATGTAATATACACAGACTTTGCGAAAGCCTTCGACAAGTGTGACCATGGCGTAATAGCACACAAAGTGCGTGCTAAAGGAATAACAGGAAAAATTGGTAGATGGATCTATAATTTCCTCACAAACAGAACACAAATAGTAGTAGTCAACAGAGTAAAGTCTGACGCGGCTATGGTGAAAAGCTCTGTTCCGCAAGGCACAGTACTAGCTCTCATCTTGTTTCTCATCCTCATATCTGACATAGACAAGGATGTCAGCCACAGCACCATGTCTTCCTTTGCAGATGACACCCGAATCTGCATGACAGTGTCTTCCGTTGCAGACACTGCAAGGTTCCAGGCGGACATCAATCAAATCTTTCAGTGGGTTGCAGAAAACAATATGAAGTTCAATGATGAGAAATTTCAATTACTCCGATATGGTAAACATGAGGAAATTAAAACTTCATCAGAGTAGAAAACAAATTCCAGCCACAAAATAGAGCAAAAAACTAACGTCAAAGACCTGGGAGTGATCATGTCGGAGGATCTCTCCTTCAAGGACCATAACATTGTATCAATCGCATCTGCTAGAAAAATGACAGGATGGGTTAATGAGAACCTTCAAAACTAGGGATGCCAAGCCCATGATGACACTCTTCAGGTCGCTTGTTCTATCTAGGCTGGAATATTGCTGCACACTAACAGCACCTTTCAAGGCAGGTGAAATTGCTGACCTAGAAAATGTAAAGAGAACCTTCACGGCACACATAACGGAGATAAAACACCTCAATTACTGGGAGCGCTTGAAGTTCCTGAACCTGTACTCCCTGGAATGCAGGTGAGGGAGAGATACATGATTATATACAGCTGGAAAATCCTAGAGGGACTAGTACCGAACTTGCACATGAAAATCACTCGCTACAAAAGCAAAAGACTTGGCAGATGATGCAACATCCCCCCAGTGTAAAGCAGGGGTGTCACTAGCACGTTAAGAGACAACACAGTAAGTGTAAGGGGCCCAAGACTGTTCAACTACCTCCCAGCATATGTAAGGGGGATTACCAGTAGACCCCTGGCTGTCTTCAAGCAGCCACTGGACAAGCACCTAAAGTAAGTACCTGACCAGCAGGGCTGTGGCTCGTACATTGGATTGCATGCAGCCAGCAGTAACAGCCTGGTTGATCAGGCTCTGATCCACCATGAGGCCTGGTCACAGACTGGGCTGCGGGGGTGTTGACCCCCAGAACTCTCTCCAGGTAAACTCCAATACAACCATCGACTTTAGCACCAGAACCTCTACCATCCACTTCTGCCAACAACCATCCAAGTCAGCCCAGTAGGGGCAAACCATGCATCTCCACTGTCTTCACAATTATCCACAAACACCAGTACCCACAATTTAAGGTAAGAATTACTATTATTTTTGTTACAGTTGAAGTCTTAAGCATTAAAAAAATCATATATCACGACAGTGAACTACAATTACGTATTAACTATTATTTTTGTAAGATATGTTGGTTTGAAAAAAAGTTGTTTGGCTTTTTGGGGCTCCCAGGAACAGTTTATCTAATACGATTTTACCTAACACGGCGTTTTTCAGGAATGTAAGTATCGTGTAATATAATGGTCTACTTTAATAATATTTACCAGTTAACTGTATAATCCCACCTAGCCATTGTTACCCTGAATGCTGACATTGACCCTGACTTAACTCTTTCTTCTTTCTTTCAATGCACTGGCCGTATCCCACTGAGGCGGGGTGGCCCAAAAGAAAAAATGAAAGTTTCTCCTTTTACATTTAGTAATACAGCCTCTCCTCACTTAGCGATGTACTTGTTTACCGAACGATGGGCTCTATGATGCAGTATTCATACCTAAATAATGTGTATTAGAGCTGATTTCCTCTATACTCTTTATTTCAGTATACAGTACACTACTGTATAAACATTTAAAAATATACCAGAAATGTTATAAATAGTGCAAAGATGACATTAAAACAATATCAAAGATGGTTAACACAATCTCTCTAGCATTATAGTATGCTCCTCGCTTAGCGACAAATTCGTTTAACAGTGTAGTCTCAGGAACGGAATTCTGTCGTTAAGTGAGGAGAGGCTGTATATACGGGAGAAGGGGTTACTAGCCATTTGCTCCTGGCATTTTAGTTGCCTCTTACAACACGCATGGCTTACGGAGGAAGAATTTTGTTCCACTTCCCCATGGAGATAAGTGGAAATAAACAAGAACAAGACCTAGTAAGAAAAATTGAAGAAAACCCAGAAGGGTGTGTATATATATGTTTGTACAGGCATGTATAGTGTGGTCTTATTGTAAGTAGAAGTAGAAAAACATACCTGAAATCTTGCATGTTTATGAGACAGAAAAAAAGACACCAGCAATCCTACCATCATGTAAAACAATTACAGGCTTTTGTTTTACACTCACTTGGCAGGACAGTAGTACCTCCCTGGGTGGTTGCTGTCAACCAACCTACTACTATCTATATAACCTAAATCTTAATACTTAACTGAGAGCAACTGTCTTTACTCTGCAGCATCCCAAGCCAAAACTATCTTTAATAATGCCAGGAATATAACTTTTAACCATAATATTAGATACCTGAGTAAGCACTACGATCTCTGGGCACTCCTGGATTCCTTAAATACAACTCTCTCTTGTAACATTCTTATTGAAACATGGCTTAAGCAAGACACAACAGATATTTACACACTACCAGGATACACAGCAATTCACAACTGCAGGATAGACCAAATGGGGGAGGGGGGAAGGTATTGCCATCTACTTGAGGGCCTTGTTCCAAATCTGTACACTTCCATAACATACTTAATTGAGGGAGATGGGAGAAACCTAGTGAAAAGCAGCGGTACAGTATACCTGGAGAGGGTTTTGGGGGTCAACACCCCCCACTGTCCAGTCTGAGACCAGGCCACAATAAGAACTCTGTATCAATGTTCGTGGCCTCTTACTATTCAACATCTTGCCTGAAGATATTAACCACTGCCGGGATAATTGTAGAAGTCTTCAAGAGGAAATTAGGCAAATATCTTCACCAGGTGCCATATCAAACAGGCTGTGATGGATATGTGGGTCAGTGAGCCACCAGCAGCAACAGCCTGGTTTTTCAGGCAAGCACCAGACAAGCCTGGCCCTTAGCCAGGCTTGGTAGTAGAAAAACACTCGTAACTCGTTAAAGGTAATGTAAAGGTATATCTGGGGGGAGGGCTGTGCCTGCCTTCTCCTTTGGGGGGGATGGCTGTGCCCGTCTTCCTGTGTTTTGTTTTTCACCTCATGAAGCTCATTTACAGTTCATCCACTTTTGTTTTCCTGTTATCAAATTAATTGTATTACCTATTAAACTTCATAATCTAGTATGTATTCTGACAAATTTTCTAAGATTGCTGCACTCTCTTAAGGTGATTCATCTCTTGTACACCTATGAGTAATAAATCTCATATATTTGGCAACTCACTGTGCTAGCAGGTGTTCTTGAGTGTCCTTTTCGAGCAGGTGTTACCCACCTGTCCCTGCTGTTTACTTATCCAGTGTGCTACGTGATTGAACACTTTCCATTTATTTGTAGTTTAATATGGAATTTTTTTAATTCAATATTTCCTAGGTGTTTTGTATATGTAAAGTGTTTTGTATTCTTTATATTTAGTATTATAGGCAGCTATTGATTGCCTGGTGAAAGAATATTCATGTACATTATGTAGTGATATCACTGTATTTAACAAGTGTCTTATTTGGCAGCACTGCTGACCTGGTGGCTCTGACTATGCTCAGGGGATTGGTAGTTCAGTGACTGGCACCACTCGACTTGCAAGCTGCAGGTCTGTTAACTTGGCTGGTTCTTATGGTGGTGAGAATTAAAGCATTTTTATATAAAAGATAAAGATTTTATTTCTTTGTAAAGGTTACAATGTGTAATTACAATTTTGGATTGCTAAGTACAAAGAAAGCCACTATCATGCCAGGGCATTTTGGGCAGATTTTATAAAAAAAAAAAATGGGTTCAAGATACTGTACTTTACTTAAGAGTTTTAGATTGGAAAAAAAGTTCTAGGTGTATCACATTCAAGTATAAATGTTAGAGTAACTTTTTTTGCAGTAATCTTTTATCATGTGCTTAATCTTTAATGTCCCAGTGAATTTTAAATGTAAAACTATCAGTGCACATGCTGTAATATGTAAACTTTATTCCCTGTACTAAAGTAGTTTTTTGTACAAATGTAGTACAGTATATTGGGCTTCACAAGAACTGCTATTAACCCTTTCAGGGTCGACAGGCCCTCTCAGAGACTTGTTCTCAGGGTCGGCCAAATTTCAAAAAAAAAAAAATTATTTTTTCTTATGAAAAGATAGAGAATCTTTTCCCGATCATAATGACACCAAAAGTATGAAATTTGATGGAAAAACTTACAGAATTATGCTCTCGCAAAGTTAGCAGTCTCGACGATGTTTACGCATCAGCATTTTTTGCCCACTTTGAGCCCTATTTTCGGCCAATTCCAGTATACATGTACTTGTCGACAAAAATCATAACTATTGCGCTAGAACTCCATTTTTTCTATCGAATGAGTACAAGAAACCACCCATTTACCGATTTCAACTATCCAACACAGTGGTCAGAATTTAGCAATTTTACCAATTTCACACAAATTTCAAAAGATGCCAATTTCCGAATAGGGTCCAGAATAAACAAGAAAGACATTCCTGGCACTAAAATAACATTTCCTTTGTTCATTAGTCACGTCCTCATGCCCCTCTTACATTCTTTTGCTTTCCACTTTGAATTTTTATTCTCACAAAAAAATAGAGGATTTACTGTTATGCAGACTACTGTATTGGTGTAGAAATGGTATAAATAATATCAGCGCACTTGTGAAAGAATATTAGACTCGCTAGTTGACGTGTATTGGATGCATAGCATGATTTGTTTACTTTTGAACTTTGGTAAAAATCGAACATTTCTGCTACTTTGAGCTCAATTTCAAGGTACTTTTCTTTGTAAAACCAATCAAAATCATCTCAATTTCTGTAATATGTCTTCCATTCTATAAAATGAAACCAGGAAAACTAGAATACAACAATAAATACCATACGAAAATATAGTGCAAAGTCGCTGTTTTAATCCAAAAACACGGTCAAAGTTTTTTTTTTCTCATTTCGCACTGTGTGCTGCAGGATTTTTTTTTATACTGCGCACACTGGCCACATAGACCCATTCTTTCATATGTAGGCCTACCAGCTTTCTCTCACTAGATTTGAGGGCGCTAGAATTTAGGCGTACTAGTACGTCAAAAACCCTGGCTCGTAAGCCGTACTAGTACGGACGAAACCCTGAAAGGGTTAAAAACTGCAGTTTCACCATGTTTATACAGTACCTGATCTGCTTTATATTTAATCTCAAATTTTGTGAACATTAGTTTATACTGTATGCAAGACATTTCAAGGCCAAAGTATTTGTGTATGGGTATACAGTATAATGAATGATGCTGAGTAGCATGAGCCTAAATACCATTGTTACATATACAGTAGTTTATATGCTGGTTCAAATATTTGTCATCATTGACTATAAATTGATGCAAAGTTCATACAGTGGTACCTTGACTTGCAAGTGACCCAGCTTACAAGTTTTCCAAGTTATGACCTGTTGCTCGTTCAATTTTTTGCTTTGAGTCGCGAGCCAAAATCTGAGTTATGAGCAAGCTTCAGATAGGCTACCACTCACAGGAGATTTTTTTTTTTTTTCAACAAGTCGGCCGTCTCCCACTGAGGCAGGGTGACCCAAAAAGAAAGAAAATCCCCAAAAAGAAAATACTTTCATCATCATTCAACACTTTCACCTCGCTCACACATAATCACTGTTTTTGTAGAGGTGCTCAGAACACAACAGTTTAGAAGCATATACATATAAAGATACACAACATATCCCTCCAGACCGCTAATATCCCGAACCCCTCATTTAGAGTGCAGGCACTGTACTTCCCATTTCCAGGACTCAAGTCTGGCTATATGAAAATAACCGGTTTTCCTGAATCTCTTCACTAAATATTACCCTGCTCACACTCCAACAGATTGTCAGGTCCCAAATACCATTTGTCTCCATTCACTCCTATCGAACACGCTCATGCACGCCTGCAGGAGATACCAAGGAAATGTAAAAAACCTCGATAATAACCAATGTGTAACATCCTTTCAATTTTGATACCACTGGTAATGTCATCCTGCCAGAATGTTCTATAACGTATGCCCTAAATAAAGAGAAACAATTCTGGAACATTTTTAATACATGTTCAGCAGGCCAGCTGGTTCGGTGGCTGGCTGTCTGACCGGCAGCTGGCTGGCTGGCTGATTTGCATTGGCTATCTATATTTCCTTTTGTCTGTCTGTATCTGTCTGTGTGTGTCTATCTCTGTCTGTCTATCATTGTCTCTATCTCACAGGTACATATAAATAGTTTTTTTTTTTTTTAACACATCGACCGATTCCCACCAAGGCAGGGTGGCCTGAAAAAGAAAAGCTTTCATCATCATTCACTCCATCACTGTCTTACCAGAGGGGCACTTTACACTACAGTTATAAAACTGCAACATTAACACCCCTCCTTCAGAGTACAGACACTGTACTTCCCATCTCCAGGACTCAAGTCCAGCCTGCCAGTTTCCTTGAATCCCTTCATAAATGTTACTTTGCTCACACTCCAACAGCGCTTCACGTATTAAAAACCATTTGCCTCCATTCACTCCTATCAAATATGCTCACGCATGCTTGCTGGAAGTCCAAGCCCCTCACACACAAAACCTTTACCCCCTCCCTCCAACTCTTCCTAGGCCGACCCCTACCCCACCTTCCCTCCACTACAGATTTATACACTCTCGAAGTCATTCTGTTTTGTTCCATTCTCTCTGCATGTCTGAACCACCTCAACAACCCCTCCTCAGCCCTCTGGATAATAGTTTTTGTAATCCCACACCTTCTCCTAATTTCCAAACTACGAATTCTCTGCATTATATTCACACCACATATTGCCCTCAGACATGACATCTCCACTGCCTCCAGCCTCCTCCTCATTGCAACATTCATCACCCATGCTTCACACCCATACAAGAGTGTTATTACAACTATACTCTCATACATTTCCCTCTTTGCTTTCATGGACAAAGTTCTTTGTCTCCACAGACTCCTAAGTGCACCACTCACCCCTTTTCCCGTCATCAATTCTATGATTCATCTCATCCTTCATAAACCCATCTGCTGACACGTCCACTCCTAAATATGTGAATACATTCACCTCCTACATACTCTCTCCCTCCAATCTGGTACCCAGTCTTTCGTCACCTAATCTTTTTGTCATCCTCATCACCTTACTCTTTCCTGTATTCACTTTTAATTTTCTTCTTTTACATACCCTACCAAATTCATCCACCAACCTCTGCAACTTCTCTTCAGAATCTCCCAAAAGCACAGTGTCATCAGCAAAGAGCAACTGTGACAACTCCCACTTAGTGTTTGATTCTTTATCTTTTAACTCTACTCCTCTTGCCAAGACCCTCGCATTCACTTCTCTTACAACCCCATCTATAAATATAATGAACAACCATGGTGACATCACACATCCTTGTCGAAGGCGTACTTTTACTGGGAAATAATCTCCCTCTTTCCTACATACTCTAACCTGAGCCTCACTATTCTCATAAAAACTCTTCACTGCTTTCAGTAACCTACCTCTTATACCATACACCTGCAACATCTGCCACATTGCCCCCCTATCCAACCTGTCATATGCCTTTTCCAAATCCATAAATGCCACGAAAACCTCTTTTTCCCTTATCTAAATACTGTTCACCTATATGTTTCACTGTAAACACTTGGTTTACACACCCTGTACCTTTCCTAAAGCCTCCTTGTTCATCTGCTATCCTACAGTTATACATAGTGTAAATTACCTAGGATAACCCAAAAAATCCAGACAAAGTGCTATGCTATGCTTGTAGATATAAGGCAAAATAAGCATGACTGACAAGTAATACACATTTTCACTTGTTCAGGAATCAGACGTGACGACGACTCATCGTGTGTATTACCTGTAGAGACAGAAAGAAACACAGGCAGACAGAAAGACAGATAAACAGAGATAAATATAGAGCTAGATAGACAAATAGACAGAAGCAAACACATAGACATGTTTGTGTAACAGTGAAAAATAAAGCCAAGGCAGTGCATGATCATCAAATGTCACTCCACTGCTGCACAGTCAGCAGTGGAGTGGCACTTATCTTACACCATGCTTCAAGGAGTTTCATATATACTCCAGCATTTCTAAAACATTGCTGGGACCTGGCAAAAAAGGCAAAAATTATTTCTTATTTATAAATACATTTTTCTTATTATTTAAAAACCTATAATAAAAAAAAATTGGGGTGGTTTTTTGGGGGGCTGGAACAGATTAATGGCATTTCAGTTAATTTCAATAAGGAAAATTTATTTGCTATATGAGCCAATTTTATAGGTAGTAGGTTGGTAGACAGCAACCACCCAGGGAGGTACTACCGTCCTACCAAGTGAGTGTAAAACGAAAGCCTGTAATTGTTTTACATGATGGTAGGATTGCTGGTGTCTTTTGTCTGTCTCATAAAAATGCAAGATTACAGGCATGTCTTGCTACTTCTACTTACACTTAGGTCACACTACACATACATGTACACGTTTATTTATACACACTCATCTGAGTTTTCTTTGATTTTATCTTAATAGTTCTTGGTCTTATTACTTTTCCTTTTATATCCATGGGGAAGTGGAATAAGAATCTTTCCTCCGTGAGCCATGCGTGTTGTAAAAGTAAACTAAAATGCCGGG